CCTGACCTGAGATAAACATTATGTGTTCTCACCTTCCTAAGTCCCCATCAGGTTAGAGACCCGTGAACCCACCCAGACACTTCAGTCCTTCAGGTCACCTGTACAACCTGTGGCCACTGAGTCCCTTAACTCTATGCAAAGGATTGTGGGCTGGATTTCCAGAGCCTGGAGGGAATGGAGAATATTAGATTAGAGTGTCCAGGTAGAAATGTTGATCCAGCAGCATTATCAGAGAGATGGTGGCCATGATGAAATGATATTCATCCACAGCTTTCTGTGTGTAATAAACACAACTTACTATTCTAGTTTCTGAAGTGAGCCCAGTGTCTGAAAACCTCAGGGCTCATGTACAATAAATTAACATAATTAAAAACTAATTAGTAAACCATCACAATTAAAAGGACTTGCCTCAGCAACACCTCTCAGGTAAGAAGGGCCCCTGATGCCAGCAGCCAGCACACAGGGCAGGCCCCCAAAATAGAGAGACCTTGATTTTACCCTGTGCTCCCCAAAGGCTTCCTTCCCCAAGGAGCTCCTTGAGAAACAGTCACATGGTACATGAGCACACAGGCATCCCTGGATGCCTAGCAGGCCAGGTGGCCCCTGCCTCCTCTGCAGGAAGTAGGAGGGGCTGCTCCAGACCCTCAGCCCCCAGTGGCCTGTTAGTGATGCTCCAATAATATTGGCTGCCCAGACATTGATCTAAGCACTTTACCTGCACTTACTCATTTAATCTTCATGACAACTCTATGAGCTAGGTTCTATTTCTCTGCCTACTTTACAAATGAGGAAACTGAGCCACAAAGAGATTAAATAACCTGCCCAAGGTCACATAGCTAATAAGCAGAAGGGGGGTGGGACTTAAAGCTACAAAGAGGACTCCAGAGCACAGATTCTTCCAGCTTTACCCAAACACAGCTGAAGCTGCCTGCCTCTGTTGGACGAGTGCTGCCCTTTTCAAGAAATGTAAATTCTCTAGGGAGGATAAGGAGGCAATTCCTGGCCCCTCAATGCAATCAAGCTCATCAAATTTATCTACATCTTTCTGTAGCCCATTTATACACTCAATCCCCACTCTCTCATCTTAATAATAATATTTTTTACATGAAAACTGTGAGTCAATCTCACAGATGTGCCACTGTCTCATCTTCAATGTGACGTAAGGCAGGAAAGGAGGCTGGAAAAGAAGGAAATGCAGTTTCCATTTTACAGGGGGGAAGCCGAGAACCAGGAAAGCTATAGCTCGAGTTTCTTCCACTTTTTGTTCTGGCTGTCCCAGGCACACCACTCAGGCTGTCCCTTTGTTGACCCCAAAGCCGTGACTTTGAGGTCCCTTTATTCTCACACTGCCCTTCCATTTGCAGCTTGTCCTTAGCAAAAGTGAGGTACACCTCTGAGCTGGCATGGAAACCTGGAACAGGAGCTGACCAAAGGCACAGACTCCTAAAAGCACTGTCCACAGTGTCCAAGGCTCAGGGAGTCCCCAAAAGACCACAACAATATGTCCCTAGGGCTCAGCTAGCCAAGAAAACACCTCAGAGGACCCTCTTCTGCCAGCACTGGCACTTATCATGCCCCTAAGGACAGCTCTGCCCTACTGGGAGAGGGCCTGGGTTTCCTAAACACACAGCACATTCCCTCCTTTTCTCTTCCTCCCTGCAATGGGCTTGCTTCCCCTGGCCAGACCTGCCATGAGCTCAGGACAGACAATGAGGTCTTTTCATTGTCTACTCTAGGTAGCAGGCAGCTGCTAAAATTAACTGAAGGAAAAACAATTGCAATAGAAATTGTTTTTCTCTTTTGTTCTCATCCCAGTTTTTCAGGGTTGTTTTTTTTTTTTTTTTTTTATTAAGCCTTCCCAAATTATTCAAGAACAGAGAAGTCCGAGGCTTATGGAGAAAACCAGAGGGTGCTGAGGCTGCCTTAAAAACCTCATCTTGCCTACCCATCCTGTATCTAACAGAAGCCTTGTTCTTACTATCACTGGCAAACCCACAGCCCATTGCTGACTCCTGGCTTGGCAATTTCCATCACTGCCTCAACCTGCAAGGCCTCCTTCCTCCCCCTCTTCTCAGGCTGAAGCACCCCCTCTTAAGGGCCAGATCAGGGCTTTCTCCTCCAGAAAACCTTTCCCTGGTACCACTGTCCCTATGACCTCTATCTTCTCCAGCCCACCGAGCCTGCTCCTTTCACTGTGCTCCTCAGATGGATTATGCCCTTGGGTAGTCCTGTGGTTCTCTGAGTCACTCTCTTTGCCCAAACAACCATGACCTCTCTACAGATAGCAGGTGAGACTCTGCACCTCCTGCCTGCTCTCTCACCCTTCTGCAGTCTAGGCAGGGCATTCACTCCACAGAGGTGTTTAATTTAGAGTCTGGGATTCTTGGTGTGGAGAGTCCAGTGTAGGTGGTAGCTCTGTTTTTACCTTTGTCTCCTTATAACCTTAGAGAATCCACTGCCTATTTCCCTCCTAGTCTAGGTCCAAGTCCTTAGCCAGCTCTGAATTCCTAGCACCATCTGCATCCTGCCTTGCAGGTACCCCTCCATCTTCAAAGCTACTACCCACCTTACAGATCAGCACACCCAACTTTGGATCACTTTACGTTTTCTTTCTGTTTTCTATTTTCTCCTATGTGAGATTCCTTAGGCCTGGGAGACATTTACCCATCTGTTGCCTTTACTGTTCTGAGGCTTCTCACTTGGAGTGACTTTGGTCTAACTAGACAGTGAGTTCTCTGCAGGCCTTTCTCTACTGCTTCCAGTGGGAAATGAGAAGGGCTGGATGAATGCAAGAACAACTGAGTGGTGATGCCTCCAAGCCAGGCAGCACGGACTGGGGAGGCAGGGTAGCCGCATGTGTTCTGAACTTCCTGTTCTCTTCCACAACCCAGAACTCCTTTCCAGAGAGTGAAGCACAGATGAATGAATACAATGTTGATTCCCTGCCTTAGTCGGATTAGTCACTGGTATCTATACTCTTCACCCTGAGCACTTACTGTGTGCCCATCACTGTGAAAGGGTTTGCAGAGGAGGAGGAGGGACCAGATCACTGGATGCCTGCTCTCTAGTTCACCATCTAGATGGAGAAAGAAGGTCCACAACCAGGAGAGCCAGAGCAGGTCTGAGGGCATGTCACCACACCCGGGCTGTGGAACGTGGGTTACTTGGTGTCAGCAAAAAAGATCAGTGGCTCACCTGAAGGGAAACTGAGCACAAAGAGGGTTCCCTCCCTCCTGGAAGGAAGACAGGAGGGGCAAGGAAGTGAGGGATCAGAAGGCAATGGTAAGGCCTGAGTTCCTAACCTGCCTGACACAGTACCCTATGGGGCTTTCTGACACCCCCAGAAATGAATCGGCAACCAAATGTAAGCCCCAAACCCAGGGAGAAAACGAGAAGCGATTGTTCCCAGTTCCCACTCCCACTTGCCAGCCTTCTCCCTCTCTCTCAGTGGATGGAATAATTGTGCCCAGGAAGTGGCACTTGGAGAAAAAGTTTTAAATCTACTTAAATGTCACAGTGAGTAATACTTTGCCCCATCTTTCCCTAATTACATTTCTCTTTGATGATCTAAGGTTAAAAAAAATTTAACTCAGGTCTTCCTAGAATATCAAGGGCAAGGACACCAAAGAACCAACCTAACTATATTCCACACTATTTTCTCTGGGGTCCTGCTCTTTTACTGCATTCATGTAAGATACCTGTCTGTGTTATTCTATCACTGACACTCTGCTGCATTGGAAAGATGGGAGCCTACGAGATCCAGCTCTGTGCCTTTAAGAGATCAATGCCTAGGCAGAAGCTGCCTCTGCTGTTGTTTACACAGGTAGCTCAGTTATCACAGGACTGGTGTCCTGGCTGCTTTCCCCTCAACAAGCTGGGAGGAGGTGTTCAGTTCACCATACACCTGCCAGAAAGCTGAGAGGTGAGGGCTGCGCTACACCCTGAGGGGGAATGGCCCAAATCCAAAATGAGTCATCATCAGGTGGGCTATCGGGGAGGAGGGGAAGCTTGTCCGAGGAGGAAGGCGCTCTCCTCGGCCTTGGGTTCGCAGATAAAGGGACATAGCACAGAGGAGCAGTTCTGGAGGAAGCTGGCATGATGCAGTATGGCATCTGAAATAATCAGGTGCCCCTTTCCATTAGCAACCCCACTCCATATTCCCACCTGCCCAGGGACAGCTTTTATTTATGTATTGGTTATTATTATTAATAATAAATATGAATAATTAAACAATTGTGAATAATTTACTTGGACCTAGGGGCTGACTAGAGTGGTGGCAGGAAAAAGAGGGTGAGCCCCAGCAGCCCTCTCCTGAGTTGCCCTCTCCTTTGCCAGCTGTCCTGTCTTTCCATTGTTAACGCTTTGCTTTGAGGGGGTGGGAGGCAGGAAGAGGGAGAGATTCTCAGGTAGGAACTACTCTCCTTAACTCCCCTCTGAGGGCAGAAAGTATGTTCCACTCTGCTGTGAGATCCTGAGATCCTGGAAGCCAAGCACCAGCACTGCAAGATGATGTTAGAGAAAATATTTTGGATAATTAGCATCTGCTGATGTGTCTGGGGTGGGGTGGGAGTCGGAAGGAGGGTTCAACTTGGTAGGTACACATCACACACACACACACACACACACACACACGATGGGTATGGGTATGAATACAAACAGGGTCTGTGCACATGTCCAGGCTGCACCCACACAAGCACACACAGTCAGGTCGGAACAAAACATGCACACACCTCTTGTCAAACACACAAACCCTTCAGGTGCTTACCAGGACATGCCCGCTTTATTGCAGCACCTCACAGGCACCCCAAGCACAGAGCCATAGCTGGCAGAATTAAGTTTCTGTTCCATTCCATCAACTCGGGTAATTTCTTCACCAATATAAAATACTGGATAATGTAAGCCCAGGAAACCTAGTCAAAATCAACTATACTTACAATTCCATCAAGCAAAGGCAGAAGAATCTAAAATGAAAGGAAGTTCCACAGTTCTTAGAACCTTACTTGCGCTTTGATTTGGGCTCCCATCATCCTTCGAGGGAAGCTGGGGGTCTGAGGTGAACCTTGAACCTCGGGGCTGGGAACCTCGGGGCCTCCCTCGGGCCTCCTCTGGCGCTGGAGAGTACCGCGTTGTGGTTGTACCACGCCGGCTTGGCCTGGGTTTACAGGCTGCTGGGGTCTCGTTTCTTTAAACAAATGCTAAAACATATCGTGTAGGAACGTGATGTAACTCGAGGGTAAGAGCAGAGAAACCCTGAGCACCGGATGGCCAGCCTGGGACCCTCCGGGGTTAGGCCAGCAGCTCGGCCCGCCGTCCCAGCTCCAGCCCCGAGGGCAAGCAGCGCGTGATTTTAATTGGCCCGACTTCTGAAGATGGGAAAAGCTGTCCTGGAAAGGCAAATGCGAGAGAGGATGGGGTGCAGGTAAATACCGTTAAAATGAAAATCTGCTGCCCCAGACAAGTTCACAACCAGTGTTCGCCCCCAGAGGCGGGGCTGCTCCAACCGGCTCCCACGCGTGCCACTCCCTCTTGAGCGCAGCGGAGGTCCCAGCCCAGGCGGACCCGCCGGGAAATCTGGCGGGGCACCGGCCAGGCGGCTGCACCTTTGGCTTCAGCCAGCAGACGCGACTCTCCGCCTCGCACCTCTGGATCTGGGGTGCAGCAAAGGAAACCCGCGGGCTCAGCGCAAGCAGTGCGAGTCTGGGTCCGCTACAGCCCGGAGAGCGATTCGGGGCTTTATTGCTTTGATGGTGAATAAGAAAAAGAATTTCCCCCCAATTTTAACCAGTAAAGCAACCGAGGGGGCGGGGGGAATCAAGCCAGTGCCCCGCGCTGGCTCACCGGACTCGGCGCCCAGCGCTTTTCTCCCTCCTCGGCCAGCTGGGCGCAGGCTTCCACCTTCCTCCCTCCAGCCGCTGGCCGAACCCGCCGCCGCTCTCCAGGACGCGGGAAGCGGTCCGGGATCGAAACATCCACCTCCCTCCTTCGGAGGAGCACTGGGACGGAGAACGGACCCCAAATCTCTATCCTCAGCCCCCCTGGTACAACGCAACTGCTCCCCAGCCCTATCTCCCAGGTGGCTCGGGTGGCGGGAGATGCCCGGTGGGAGGGAAATTTGGGGCTGCTCTCGCAGGTTGGGGAAGCGAGGAGGTAAAAAGCAGAGACAGAGAGAAACGGGGAGAGCGCGCGCGGGCGAGAGAGCTCTTGTATATAGATTTATCCACATAATATATATTTATGTAGCTTTTTTTTTCTCTCGACACTGATCAATGCGCACTCGGATCGCTGGGCGGACTCTCTCCAAGCCTGCCCGCCTTTTCTAGTCTAAATAAATAAATAAATGGAGCCAGATGGGAGAGAAAAGCGCCCATTCCACCTCCGCCGCCGCCGCCTTCGCCGCCGCCCCGCCCGCCGTCCCTGCCTTCGCTTCGCCCGCCTGTCGCCCCAATAGAGTGCAGCTGGGTGGATAACCGCCTCCCCCCGGCACACCCGCACGAAAACGAAAATCAATGTTTTTAAAATACAAAAAGTTGCACCTGCTGCTATTACAAAAAGAACCCCCAAAGGGCAACGAGAGGAGGCCGACGGCCCGGTTCCTAACGGGCACCCGCTGCCCACGGCCGCCCGGCCCGGAATCTCAGCGCCTCCCGAAGAGCCATGCGCCTGGCGCTATTTATAGCCGGGGGCCGTCTCGGACTGTACCACCGCCGCTCCGCGGGGCCGCCGACGGGGGGGAGGCGCGGTGAGG